CCATAGAAGGTACCGCACCAGTTGATGCAGACTTCCATGCACTCTGCTTGTTTGCGAGGAAAAGTACATGTAGCAGGACTCTCCTGGAGCAAGTGAGCCTTCAGGGGCCATGTCATGCTTGCTTTGTTATACTTCATGCCAAGTTCGACGAGTGCATGCACATCCCAGCCTGCATGGCCATGCCAGGGATTTGTCGTGATTGCTAAAGCCAAACATGGCCATCACAGGCCCAGGCTCTTCAAGACGGACCGCATATGTGAGGTCAATGCAGGCCACATGAACTCGCTGCACAGCAGCCAGAGTTGCAGGCCCAGAGCAGAAAATCCAGAGCTTTGTCCTGTTTCTATATACGAGGGACATGTAGCCACTGTGGCCATGCCAGGCAAGTTGCTGTGTTGTGCGAAAGCCAAGTGTACATAGGACCATGCCATGCCGTCACGTCTCAGCATTTTGGGTTTAGGGTCGGAAATAGAAGTGGAAATGCATAGTGCAGTTTGACCTTAAGAGACTCTAAACCCTGGACCCTAAACCCACAAGAATATACCCTTACATCCCAAAGCATAACCTCCCAAACCCGAGAGCTCGAAGCGCCATTTCTAAGCCAGGCCCTGAAGCAAAGCCAACACCATCCAAGTCCTCCAACCGCCAACTTCTAGAACCCCCAAGCTTCGTAGGGTGAAGCCAAGCCTTTGCAGGGAGCCAAGTGGCCATGCCAGACTGTTTGCACTTCCATTCTAGGGAGCCAAATGGCCATACCAGACTGTGTGCAGAGCCATGCAAGGCAGGTCCATGCTGCAGGAGCACAGCTTTTGCCAAAACACAGACCATTCGCAGCAACAGCAGCTGCCAAGCCACCAGGTATCTCCACGGCAGCATTGCTGAGGGTGCCATCAAGACCAAGAAGACCAAGAAGACCACGAAGGCTGCCGGAAACCCAAGCACAGCAGCTGTGCACCAGCGGCCAAAAAAAACGCCTCCAGTTTCGATTGCCTGAGCCGTTGTGGCCATGCCAGGCCATTGAGTTTGTTGTTTGAAAGCCAAGTGGCCAGGCATGCCATGGCACACATGTTCGTCTCTCTTTTTCGTTCCGCTGCAGCCTCTTTTGGCCATATAGCGAGCTGCGGACAGCTAGCCAAAGCCTCCACTCCAGTGCCGCCATGGTCAAAGGAGTCAAAAAGCCAGCGGCTGCCAAGGAGGCCACGACCAGGAGCAAGCCCAGGGCCAAGAAGCCGGCAGCAAAGCACGACTCCACGGACTCCACGGCCGTCTCTTCCAAGCCCGTCCAGCCTCCACCACAGGGGACAGCGACGGCCCTCCCAAGCAGTGCCATGCTTCCACCAGAGGAGCCCATCGGGCCGCACGTAATGCTGCGGTGTGTGGTATGCCACCGCTCCACTATCTTTCTTTGGAAGCTCTATCACAATGCCAAGTGCACCCAGTGTGATTCCCCATGGATCACCAGCTTGGCGGGAGGAGCAGGCCTCGTCTACAGGTGGTGAGGGGCCACCCACCACCAGCAACCAGGCACCATGGGCCACTTTCTTCCATGCCACCAGGGCCTCTCTCCAGACGGCCCAGGTCGGCCATGGCTGCAAAGGTATGGAGGCCATTGGTTTTTTTGAAGGACCCAGCCTGCACCATGCAGGCCAGCAGCAGCATCTCCAAGCCGTGCCAAAAAAAGGGTGCTTGAACTCCAGAAGCCTTCCATGGCCATACCAGCAGCAGGTTGTCACATGCCAAGCCACAAAGGCCATCACATGTGTTATTTTTTTTGTCGGTTATATATTTATATCTGCACAGATGTATGCTTTTTTCTATATGTTCAGAAGACCATTTGGGTGAACATCCATGGAAGGACACATACATGTTTTGTACAGATATAGAGACATATATAGAAATGATTTGTCTGGAGTAACTTGTTTGTATATTAGATTCTGATTGTAATGAAGATATCTTTGTAAGCCATGTATCATATACTCAGCACCAACAGAAACAGGCAGAAGAAGAACAGCAGCATGAGCAGTCACAACCAGAGCAAGCAGCAGCTGCACACTGGAAGACCAAGAAGGACAGCTGGCCACGGCCACAGCAGCAGCAACAGGGGCACCAAGCTTGAGACCAGCATCCATTCCGATAGGGGTCTATAAGCTTCATGGTTTAGGGTCTGAAATAGAAGTGGAGATCCATAGTGCCGGTTCACTTCAGTAGACCCCAAACCCCAGACCCCATATAAACCCAGAACGATGTACCCATGAACCCCAAAGCCGAAACCTGCGAAACCCGAGAGCTCCAAGCGCCATTCCTATGCCAGGCCCTGAAGCAAAAGCCACCAAATCCAACTCCTGAAACAGCCAACTTTCTGCAAGAACACCCAAGCTTCGTAGCAGCAAGCCAAGCCATTGTAGGGAGCCATGTGGCCATGCCAGACTGTTTGCACCACCATTGTAGGGAGCCAATTGGCCATACACACCGTCCCTTTTGTCAGCCCAGGTAGGTACGTGACCACAGTTGTTGCCAGAATCTTTGCTCTTCGGAGCAGCCCAGAGTGCTCGAACCACTGTAGGAAGCCACAGACAGAAGTTTTGTATGTCACCATACTGCCAAAGTAAGAAATATAGTAGATTCAGAATTTGAATCTAATTCACAGATTCTGGTAGTTAGATTCAAATTTTGAATCTAAGATTCTCCAAGATTCAGAATCTGAATCTTACTACCAGATATCCGCATTTAGATTCAAATTCTGAATCTAGCCATTTTACATACATAACAGCCACCATATAAACATCATCAAATATACTCAGTCGTCCTCCAGAGTGCCAGCCATGGCCACGTCGCCGACGGAGGTGCCAACGAGCCCCAGCGAGCACCCCACCGAGGTGCCCACAGAGGAGCTGGCCGACCCAACCTTGCCAGAAGAAGGCCCATCAGGGCAACCAACGGTCCAGATCCCCCTGCGATGCCCATCCCCGGAAGCTCCCACCGAAGCCAGCCCCACACAGCCAGGAGCCCCGCCATCACCCGTCACACCTTTCGACGAGCAGACCACAGCCCAACCTCCGCCCAAACTCAAACCCCCCATTGCCCAACCCGTCCCCCCAATGCCATGGCCCTTCCACGTCCCAATCCCCAACCCATGCCCAATCCCCAACCCATGCACTGGCTATGCTCGGCCCAGGCCACTTGTGCCAGCACTGGCACACACCTGCTTTGAGGCCACCGCCACACTGCCCATGGCATCCACAGCACCCATAGCACCATGCACCTGGCCAACACCAGCTCCCATGTGCATGCCTCTTCTCCCCACCACCAATCCACTCCTACCAAGGATCCCCTTCCACCCCCCCGCCACTTCGCCCGCAACATGGCCAATCCCCGCTTGCCATGCTGCCACCGCACCCACAGCACCCAAACCACCAGTCCAGTGTCCCGCCAGCAGTGGCCTCCCAGTGTCCTTTGCCCCACAGCAGCTTCAACCAACCGCCCAATACATCCAAACCATCCAGCCCAAAGCCCCTGTCAGTGGCCCAGACATGGGCCCCAAGCTGCCGTCCAAAGCGCCACCCACACACCAGCAGAGCCCCTCCCACACACTCCACCGCACCACGGCCATGACACCGCCACCAGGCAGCACCACACCCAACACACCGGCACCAGACGGCACCACACCCGGCACACCGCCGCCAGACGGCACCACACCCATCACACCGCCAGCAGGCAGCACCACCATCACACCCAAACCCAAGCTCAAATACCCACCCACCCGAAGGCCACAGACAGTGCATGAGGAGGTTCCAATGACACCACCCCCAGCCAAGTCCACCATTTCCACCCCTTTCAGCACCCCTCCAACCCCAATCCCACAACCCAAGACACCACCCACACCACCGCCGCCAACAACCCCACCAGTGGGAGGGATCAACCTGCTCCAACGAGCCCAAACCCCACCAAGATCACCGCCACAATCAGAGGCCAGGTCCAGCTCCAGTGCACCAAAAGCCAAACCTCTCATGCTGCGAGCAAAGTGGGCCTGTCCACCACCGGGGCCACCACCAGCAGAGCCAGTTCCGTGGAGCCAAGGCATTTCAGGAACCAGCCACAGCAAGACCAAGAGCACGGGCTGGAAACATAAGGTTGGCTGGCTAGCCATCTTGCTCCACAACCAGAGATGGACCAGGGCCCAAGAGCTGGCCAGTGTTTTCATCCAAGAGGCCAACGAGCAAGTCGCCACCGGGGCAACCCAACTGGAGACTGCCAGTGGTTCGCCAACATGGTGCCAGAAGTGCCTTTGGCTTTCCAAAGCCATTGCCAAGGACGACCATGGACGAGCCCAGAGACAAATCCAGTGGCAGCTCGACCAGATATAGATTCCATAGTTTTCATTCTACAATAACAATAACAGCATGCAGCATAGGCTTGATCCGGAAACCTCCCAATCTTTTTTGTTGCCATTTAAGCCATTCAGTGGTAAAGCCTGCCAACCACTTGGCCCAAGGTACATGGGGGAGCCCAAGTTCGGGGCCTGGGTCCAGGACCAACTGGACCAGATGGAGAGATCTGGGGCCACCACTCCAACGGCCATGCCAGATCGCTACAGAAGTCTCCAGTGACCACAAGGCCAGTGTGTCCATTCACAAAGATGACCCATGCAGTTTGCTCCTGCCAGGACCAAGGACGACCATGGCTTCTTCCAGACAAACCACGTGAAACCACAGCTGCCACAGTGGTCGCTGCCAAAAAGAAAGCTTTCAGTGCTCTGCCATGATCTGCATGCAAGCCAATCGGCCATACCATGCTTTGCGAGCCATGTGGCCAGCACCCTATTTTTCGAAGCAGCCAACTGGCCATGAACACATATTTATACTATATATATATATATCTCTCTCTGAACTTCATTTCAAGTCGCATTCCTTTGTGTTTGTTTCCCATGCTTTCTTCATTGCAGCCTTTTAGGCCATTCAGCCCGACCAGGCCAGTGTGAGCAGCCAGTGCTTCTCAGGGCCATGCAGCGGTACGGGTGCCAAGACTTCGTCGAGGAGATTGCTCATCTCCAGAAGCTGGCCGAGATGCTGCCAGACTCACCAGTCACCGAGAGCATGGCCAACACCTTCATGGCTAAGATCCAGGGATTCCAGTCCTGGTCCTCGGAGAGCATCTGCCAAATGCTTGCCAAGGCCGGCGAAGCTTCCAAACTGCCAGAGGCCATGAAAGCAAAGATTCTGGACACCATCCAGAATTTGTCCATGAACACCGGCTCCCAGCTCAAGTTGGTGAACACTGGCCAGTCCGTCCAGCGGCTGTGTCCATACTTGACCAGGCCAGACTGGGTCGCTTTGTCCACCCTCACGAGCCAAACGGACCAGCTGGAGCTCTTAGCCAAAAGACTCCGAGCCATGGGACTGCATTCTTTAAAAGAATGCACCAAGGGCCAAGCGGTCGCCATTGTCTTGATGGTGCAAGCTTCGCAAGGCAAGCCAAGCCTTTCGGCCGCTGCCATCAACTCGGCAGTCCAGGACTTCGGAATCATCTTCCAGTCCCTGCCAAGCAGCAATTGCCCCGGCGCCAGCAGATATCCAGACCATCCATCAGAGATGGGCCAGCTTTGGCTCTCCAAGGCCTATGGTCCAGGCGACCAGCCAGATCTGCAGGACCCATGCCTGGCTCCATTTTTGAAGAAAGCCCCTTGGTTGCATAACTTGGATCTGTTCCGTGTTGCATTTGTTTCTTGCATGCATGTAGACATTTCTACGTCTTCGTCCCCGAGGTGCCTCTTCGAAGCACCCATGCTTCATTGGCCGGCGGCACCAGGTGCAGGTCCAAGCGGCCTCCAGCGACACCTCAGGGCTCCACCTTAAGCTTCGACCAGGAGCTGGAAATGCTGAAGCTGCGGCATGGCATCCAAGCCCAAGCAGCCACACAAGGCACAGCCACTCTGCAGGGAAGCCAAGGGCCCACCGCCGCAGCAACAGCAGTGTTGCCTTGGCTGTCGCCGCGAAGCATGGTCCAGTCCCACAGCCAGAGTGCTGCCAGCACAACTGCCCCTGGCCAGGTCTTTGGCCAGAGCACAGCATCTGCCGCTGCTTTGCCACTTCCTCCGGCAAGCCCGCCTCCTGAAGCCACGACCAGAGTCGAAGCAGCTCCCACGGAGACGACTGCCAAGGAAGACAGTGCCAAGCAGGACACGTGTATATTTTTGTTTAGTTTCCTTCCATACTGCTTATTCGGGGTTGTTCTGCAGCATTTCACCCTGCAAGGACGCCAAGACATTGCAGGAGTACGAGCAGGAGCAGTTCCAGAAGCTGCTGGATGCCAAGGCCGACAAGAAGAAGAAGGCCAAGGAGGACGGCCAGGCCGACCAGAAGCCCAAGAAACAGCATATGAAGCGGCCAGCAGCAGCCATGTCTACCCGACAAAGCTCGGCGAACCAGGGCACCACCTGCAACGGCCATGAGGCTGGCAAAGGTGCCACCGCCGCCAAAGGCGGCAGCACAAAGATCCTCTACGGATGTATCCGCTGTCGTGGTAATGTTAAGGGATGCTCCAGTTGTTGGGACCCAAACTTTCGGGGCACCCGTCTCCACGGCCGCCAAGCTTGGAGGGAGTACATCGAGGCCCACAAAGCCAACAAGGCCATGAAGAAGGCTCCCAAGAAGTAGTGCCAGGCATGGTTCCAGGCAGTTTGTTTTCTTGCAGGGCAGCACCAAGGGGCCCAGGTGCAGGGTAGCAAGAAGCCACAACAGCCCAGGCAGGGTGCACCGTGCCGACACGAGCAAAAAGACCGCCTGCATGTCTTTGGACAAAGTGATTCTTTGAAGCCATGCCGTGGCCATCCTGCAGCATGCTGTTTCTGTGTATATATGCACTTCCGAGGTCTTTGTTGACGCACTGTGCCCGCCATCGCTTCAGCAACGAAGGTTCCAGACTTCTCCCACGAAGAGGTCCATGCATGTGAGTCTGACATCCACAGCCTATATAGACAGGGATGCAGCCTTCATCCATATAGCACACATACCATTGATTCCCATGTGAAGCAAAGCACATTGCCACTGCCCTTGCCCCCAAACCCACTCTCAGCCATTTTTGGCCATGGAACCTCCACAGAAGAAGAGCAAACTGCAGCAGCTGCTGACCTTCAAAGCTGCTTTGCCAGGTCACTCCCAAAGTGCACTGGCTGCTTTTGTGGAAGTCGCCAAGGAACAAGGCCTCCCAGAGAAGAGCTCTTCCAATGACCAGCGGAAAGCCAGGGAGGAGCTTCTACAGAGCTGCCATGGTGGGCTACTGGGTCCTTTGATCCAAGAAGCAGAGGTCACCACCGATGATGGTGCCAAAGTCACCATGTACTTTGCCAACCTCTTGGTTTACCTGGCCAGTCTTTTCCAGATGGGTGGAAGCTTCCATGATCTGATCCAAAGGAAGCACCGAGCCAACCCATCATCCGTCTCCAAGCCATGGCAACTTATACTTTATGCAGATGAGGTGATACCAGGAAACGTCTTAGGACCTGCCCAACGTAAATTTTGGGCCATTTATGCCAGCTTCAGGGAGATGGACCAATTCCTCCACCACGAGGACCTCTGGCTGACCATCTCTCTTGAAAGGTCCAACTTCGTGAGCCATGTCCAGGGCGGCATCTGCCAGATCATGTCCAAGATCTTGGAAACCATTTTCGCCAATGCCCACGTGGAACCATTGGCAGGGTTTGTGTTGAAATCCCCACATGGCCCAGGTTCCGATGTCCGGCTCCATTTCCGGTGGGCCATATGTCTGGCAGACGGCGGTGCCCATAAGCAGATTTGGTCTTCCAAAGGTGATTCTGGTACCAAATTTTGCATATTATGCGCCAACATCCACTCAGGACCACCCACAGGCGACAACCACGACATCATGGACCACCGCACGACCAAATACAGCCAATTGGTTTTGACCACTGATGAAGACGTCATCCAGTCCTACCGCAGATTAGACGAAAGGCGAGCCACGTGCAGGACCAAAGCAGAATTCTCGCAATGGCAACAAGCCACCGGTTGGACCTGGAATCCCCAGGCCTTGCTCCTGAACCAGACTTTGTTGGCGAAGAACCAAGTGAAGCCAGTCAGCCAGTTCTGCCATGACTGGATGCACGGCATTCTGCAAGGAACGGCCCCAGTCGTGCTGTTCCAGAGCTTCCAAGCCATCTCCGAGCTCTACAACATTTGGGAGGCCATGGGCCCATACATAAGGATGTGGAACTTTCCAGGTGCTTCCAAGGCCGGTCACTTGGCTGGTTTGTTCGACACAAGCAAGGTCGCCAAGTACAAGAGCAGCCAGAAGTTCAGTTGCCAAGCTTCGGACCTCCTAGGGCTTTATCCAATCATTCGCCATTTTTTGCATTCTGTTGTTGTGTCAAGCGGAATCTGCCCAGAGGCTTGCCAAGCTTTCTTGAGCCAGGCCTGCTTGATCGACCAGGTTCACCAAGGGGTCATGTATGGAGCCACCACCAGAGCCAGCCTTCTCAGGGCTGCGGAAGAATCCATCGAGACCTTCCAACAGGCCAACTTCGACGTGCCACTGATGCGGAAGTGGCACTGGCTGCTCCACTTGCCTGATATTCTCCAACGGCATGGGTGCCTGCCATCGACATTTACGAGCGAACGAAAGCACAAAACCATATCTGCTTTCGCCACAAGGCTCCAGAAAACAGCCGCCTTCGAGATCCACTTGCTCAACCAGGTGCTCGCCACCGAGATCACCACTTTGACACAGGCCGGGCTGTTTCCAGACTCCTGCCAGTTGGTGAAGCCAAAGAAGCCCAACAAGCACCAGCTGCAATTCCTCAACCAGTTTGTGGATTGCTCAGCAACTGAAGCCATGGTTGCCTCTATCGCGAGGCTCGCAAGGGGTGGTGCCATCCATGCCAACGACGTCGTGGTGTTCCACCAGGAAGACGGAAGATGGGACATGGGCCAAGTGCTTTTCCATTTGGAGCTTGGAGGCGACAAAGCCACACTCGTCCAACGTTGGAGGCCAACAGAGACACAGAAGACAAAGCAGTTCGCCAAGTGCTCCATCACCAACGAGCAAGGCTTCGTGTCCATGGACTCCTTGCTGTACCCAATGGTGTACAGCAAGACCACAGAGAGGGAGGCCACTGTGCTGCTACCGTACCAGCTGTACCACAGGCTTTGAAAAACAGTGCTTCTCAATCCGCCACAAGGCTGTACCACATGCACATGACATTTTTAGCCCTATAGGCCATGCACGACAGCCCGTCCATGCAGGCCATTGACATGTATTTTTGCTTTAAATTTGTTTGACAAGCTACATGTTTTATATATTTCATTTCCGATACCAGTGTTTATGCTCCATGAAGTGTCTTCTCATATCAGAGTCCCTAGCCTAAACCTCAATGCCAAAACACACAAGTTACTTCTACAATTTTGATGTCTATAACATAAGCTAACTCCACCTAACTTTTTAGCTAACTAACATAACTATGTTAACCACTTATAAAACAACCAGGATTCCAAGTATGCTGTCCGATCTGCGGGGTCGGCTACAGCACGCTGCAAGCTGTGCGTCTGCACATGCGCAAGTCCCACCAGACGCAGGTCCGACAATCAACTCCTGCGCCGGAATCAGACCCTGCCACCACACCTACCCTTGCCGCAGGTCCACCTACCTCCTCCTCTTCAGCTGCTGCGGTGACCATGGATCCCGACGCGGCCACGACCCTGGTCCCCAAGCCCGCATTTGCGGCGGATGAACATGCCCTGTTTGTTTGGCAACATGGCCGCGAAGGTCTACCGCAATGCCGACACTGCCTTCGGCAGTGTGACTCCTGGCACAACCTGCGCGTGCATATATCCACGAAATCTTGCCGTACCCTTGTGCCAGACGGCTTTCACACTCTACCCCCAAAACTCAACCTAAACCCGACACCGCTCTACCATAGACCCGAATGCCAGCCCTTTTTCCTAGGCACCTGGGAACAGCTTGCCTCCTGGATGAAAAAGGCGTTTCCTCAGGCAGTGCAACATTGCCCGTACTGCCACCAATGGCTGACCCAAGCCCGCGGCCTCCGCGCGCACATTAAAGCCAAGCACCCTCCCATGATTGCATGCTGTGAAGAAGCAGTCCGCCGCATGCAGACCCACCGCAGGCTTTTGGCCCTCGGGAAAACCTGTCGCTACTGCAGCCTGTCTCTTACGGGAGCACCCATCAAGCACGCCACTGAGTGTGCAGTTTTGTTCCTGGTCCACCTGTTGCAAGCCACCTTCGAAATACACAGTACTGCCCACACGACCCAGGTCCGACATGACTCTGCCCTCGATGTTCAACGCCCATCAAGTCAACCCGGAGGACCTGGAGGAGGCGACCATGGAGCTCAAGAGTATCGAGGCACAGGTACGCCTGATCCCGAACCCACCGTCACCGGCGCCGAAGGCAGCAGACCTCCCCGCCCAGAGCGAACCAATGGACACCTCACATCCCCCACCGGCGGAAGAGATAGCGGACAGACCCTCCAAGTGGCACCGCGACAACAGCAAAGGAGCCCCTCCACCGGGCAAAGGGAAAGGCGCGGCGGGCCGAGGCCATCCGAACCAGTCGGCACCAGCAGGACGGTCTCCCCACCAAGGCGGACAACCAAGACGGCCAGGAGGTCGCCCCTCCGGGTACCATCCTCAGCCTCCCTGGCAGCGCCAAGGACAGGGATACGGGCCTACTTCCGGCCCAGATCTCCACCTCATGTGCCACACCATGGCCAGGCTCCTCATGCGACACGAGGACGCCCTCTCGGTGCTGCAGCAATCCACCACCTGGATTCTCTTCCTCACGACCCAGACGGAAAGCACCATCCTCCCCAAGCTGTTCGCCACAGCCCAAGGTTGGCACGACCTGCGATGGAACAACCCGGACGCCATCACGCAGCCGATGCGCATCATCCTATGGCAGAAGCTGATGCTGGAGTTGGCGCAGCGTGCGCAAAAGGTGATAGATCAGGCGGACGCACGGGAACAGGCTGTTCAGATGGAGCTGTACAACCCGAATACGGGATTTGGCTACCGCAAGTGGAACAACAAGGAAGGTGCCATGCAAGCCATCCCGGACCGAGAGCCGCTAACGGCCCAGAAGGTGGTGGAAGTGGCTCAGGAGCTGGCGACACTGAGTGTGCAGCCACAGCTGCTCAATCGCTTTCACGCCACGAGGCAACTGGAGGCGAAGATGGAAGGAAGCACAGTCACCTGGCTTCTGGAAGTGGGATGGCGAGGAGAACAGACAGCCCGATTTTGGGAGCTACTCCAGCTCCTCTCGCACAACTCCTCTCTCCTCATGGTGGGATGCACCCTTCGCCCGGATCGCCTCCAACGATCAGCCCTGGCGCAGCAGCTCCAGACCCTCTTGCAATCCATGAACATTCCCATGCCACGACAGCAGCCGAGACCTCAGCACTACTTCCGACATTGCGGCTTCACAACCCATCCAACTACTGCTACTCCCACGCTTGCCTCCTGACCTACCTTTGGATTGCGTCCCTGTCAGCCTCATCCCTTCAGGTACTGGACCGGGAACCGATAAGGAGCTTCATTGCGCAGGCGCGCAAGCAGCAACAACTGACGCTATGGTCCCTTCTACCATGGCGACAGGCACTCCGGCGCTGGACTAACCCTGCCAGACAGCACGATGCCGCGGACTTCCTACTACACCTTCACCAGGTACTAAATGCACCCTGCTTCCAAGGCCTCTGGCAATCCTATGATGACCGCAGAGTGCTCCAGGATGAAGGCGGGGTTTGTCCACTCATCCTTTCTGGTATCCAAGATGCCTCTACTGCCGTTGCTACCTCAGCCCAGTCCTGCATCAATCGTTGGTACTCGCAGAAACGTCGCCACGCCTTGATCTCAGGTACTGAAGCTGTGGCTGTACAGCTGAACAGATTCTGCAATGAGCGGGGCATTGCTACCAAAAGTGACCATCGCATCGAAGCAGATCAGGAAGTCCTCTTCCCTCAATGGATCCCCACCTCCACTGAAGTCATTTGGAGAACTTATCAGCTTCAGGCGATTGTCCAGCATATCGGACCTACTACGGTCACGGGGCACTACCGTGCTGCACTCAAGCCTCGCTCTGATGTTACACCCCTCTGGCATTACACAGATGACAACAGAGCCGCACAATCCATCCGCCTGAAAGCCCTTTCCACCTCCAGCTACATACTCGTATACAGACTGAGGAGTGCTGCCACTTCCGCATAGGCCCTTCGGGGCACAACGTAGTTAGTTCCGAGACGATCCAAGTGTGATCGTGCGCCACTGTGCGCCAGGTGATTCCTGCTCCAATCAGCGCATTGCGACTTTACCGTCCGCAGCGAGTGTGATGATGATACTACTACTACTACTACTACTACTACTACTACTACTACTACTACTGCTACTACCACTACTACTAATACTACTACTACTACTACTACTACTACTACTACTACTACTACTACTACTACTACGACAACAACTGCTGCTGCTGCTGCTGCTGCTCTTGCTACTGCTACTGATACTGATACGGCTACTGCTACTGTCATCGCTGCTGCTGCCGCTGCCGGTCGCTGCTACTGATACGTGTAGCTGCTACTGCCACTGCTACTGCCACGGCTACTGCTTACTGCTTACTCGACGACTACTACTACTACTACTCCTGCTGCTGCTGCTGCTGCTACTACTACTACTACTACTAACTACTACTACTACTACTACTACTACTACTACTACTACTACTACTACGAGAATCACCAGCACCACTTGTACAAGTTGTTGCCGTTGCTACCAGAATAGCCCTCCTGCAATGATTGTGCAGGGCTTGTAAGTTGTTTCCCAAAGTGCGGCGTCGGACTAGTCTTACGTACTATGACGCAACATGTGCTTCATCGCGGTTGTTCCGCCATGTCAGGCCAGCTGAGCCAACTCTCTTGATGCTTGTATTTATGGGACAAAGCAAGTCTTTTTGTCAGGTTATGCAGCAGGTTTAGGCTGATTGATGCCTTGGTCGGATCCCAATCGCATTCGCTTTCGAATTCGCCTGCGCAGGAGCTTGAAGTGTCACAGGCTGGGACAGGATTGACCGCCATTTCGGGCTGGCAAGATTTTATGATCGGGGGTAGCGTTGATAGTTGCAACACACAAGTCGACATGCGAGCTTCCGCCATGGATCCGACAACGAAATGCCTCAACAACCATGCAGATCTTTCGAAGCCGGGTTATCTCGCCAGCTTTCAAAACTCTGCGCAGCTCCACTTCGAACCGGCTTCGACGGTTTCTCAAGACATTCAGCTCACAGGATTTCTCGAGTTGCCCAATCTTGCTGAATGTCTTGATCTCTGAAACTGCAGGCCCACCCAGTTGGTAGAAAACGACCCTGCTCGATCAGGCCTTTAACTTTTGGAACGCGTATCATTGAGAACATGAGGCTCATCCTGATAAATCCTATCGTAAACACAAACCGGGCACGCCTTGTCAGCTCGGTCCAGCAGTCCCCTGCGAAGGGAAGCATTAGGCGCCGGCGCATCCCCGTTGCTTGCGTTGCCGCTGCCACCTCCTCGGCAGACCTGCAGAAGAAATCATCCTGCGCAACGTTCTTCCTTCCATTCCTTCGCCGGTTTTACAAAATCTTAATCACAATATGAGCCTTCATATGTACCCGAACATGCCGTGGGCATCTTTAGCTGCATTCTGACCAGCACAAGTCCGCTTCATGCCTGCGCTAGCATCTGGAGATACCGCTCCTGCGCAGAGTAGGCAGGAGACACAGAAGTTTCCAGCAACTTCATGAACGAAGCATGCGAAACCAGCTGCCCGGGAAGTCACAAGAGAACCTCGTAGCACGATGTTGCCCTCTCATGTGGGGCCACGATGAAGGCTCTTCGTCGTTTTAGTGGGGGCGACGACAGGTGGTGTGCAGATCGAAGGAGAGCTGCCGAGAAGTCAAACCCCTCCACACTCTCCACTGGGCTGGCTTGCTACATATTCTTTTTAACAAAAAACTAACAGCGGCATTCTCTCGATTTTCGGTGACCAAGGACATATCTGCTGTGATGAAGGGGCGGCAACTTGTCACTGCCCTTTCCCCAGGCCCCAGGGTCCATCGAAGCCCTCCGCTTCTCTTCCTGGGCTAGGCTCGGCGATGCAACAGCTTTCAATCCGGGCGTTTGGAAGCTCTTGGCAGGTACTCCCCCACCTGCGCCAAGAGTCTGTGCTGTGGACGTTTACCGCCCGCCATCGGCGCGTCGTCTGCGTGTTCAGAAAGCGGGTGCATTGCCTCGGCGAGCGGTGTATGAACAAAATAGAACAGATCCTGCATCCATGCCAATCTGTCGCCACAACAATAGCAGCACTTTCTGCGTGACTGAGGCTACTGGTATTGCCAAGGTTCCAGATGTAGAAGAAAAACACCTGCAGCGGTACACCGGGCGGGGATCGCGCTTCTGTGAGCCAATGTGTTTGTGTGTGTGGGGGGAGTTCAGGATCGTTCAGCTAAGCTGCTACGTTGAAGAATCTATGTTACGTTGGTAGACCTCGTATACCGCTGCAGCAGTGCGTAGCTACCGAAGAACATCTTCATTACCAAGGGCAAGACTCAGACTGATGGATCCTGAACCAGGCAACCGCCATCGAAATCTTCGAGAGATGTCACTGTCGAGCCAAGGAGCGGTCTCGGCTAGGCTCCAAGAGATCAGCCCGTACTTCAGAAGGATGCGCGGGTGAAAGTGGCGAGGGCTGATGTTCCTGGGCCATGGCTTGCAATGTCATCTCCTGCTGAACCTGCGGAAGTCCGAAGGCACACGCACCTTTGCAACTTGCTTTCTGAAATCTGTCCCCCGGTCGGCAATCAGACACTTCGAAATCTTCCAAGCCAAGCATCATCCAAATGTTTCGGAACCTTAGCTTTGCAGTTCACCCTTCCCCTGGGTCCTGGTCACCCTGATGTAGCGAGATTGTTATGTCACATCCCTCTGCGTTGTAGTTGAGCACGACTGGTAATCGCCCACCGAAACGCCTCCTGCAGCAGCAAGCCTTCAGCTCTGTGGGGAGAGTCAGTTCAAGCGGGAACATCGCATTCCGATAAACCGCTCACAAAGTGCAAACTCTGGTTTATCAGTTCTCGCACTTGCGAGCGAACTGGCGGCCAGTCGGGAGACACGCAGCTGGGCTCCATGCCAAGCCCTGTCCGCTGCCCAGCTGGCTCGTGACATGTGGCAAGCACCACACGAAAATTCGAGTGCATGTTATGCTGTCAGGATGCACGATGAACATGGCCATCGGCGCTGTGCCACGCAATCCGAGGATGATCCCTGGACCGCAGCAGCAGTTAGCACGGTGAAAGAACAAACATGACTTGAGTTAACAGGTATTGGTTCGCTTGGACCGCTCGGAAAATTTGGCATGGTCGACAGTTCGTGTCGACAGAGCATGGGGTTTTCGCGGTACGCAATGCTTGCCTGAACGTTCCGGTCAACCTTCATGCAGAAAGGCTAACCCGACATGAACAAGGGCTGCCAAAACCTTAAGAGTTTAGAGCTTCACCTTGGCCTTGTTCTGAGCTGATGACACCACATGTTGTTAAAGCTGCCTTCGATCAAGCATCGTCGCAGAGCGCTCTCACGAGAAAGAACCTGAAGCTTACTCTTGTGGAATACAGGGGACTGACACGGAATATCACGTTGCACGTGGTTAAAGCTCTGCTTCTGCGAGTCGCATGCCCCAGGTCACTGTACATCACTGCTGTCCATTGCATAGACACGGATAGAATAGAGATTGCAACATTCTTCGTGCAGCGCTGCCTCTCCATCTAAATCCTTGTAACATCATGCTGTGTGAAGAAACCGCACATTGCCAGTCGTCTGCTGGGATGTGACAAGCTGGCAGCCCAAGCATTGGGCAGCATGACTCCATTATCTGGAACACCGTATGACTAAGATAATCATCCAAGCCACTGCAAGAGCGGAGAGCACGACAGCTACGATTGCTGATCGGTGTCGGGCAGCTGCCACGCTTGCCTATGCGGGCCACCCGAGAAAGCTTCAATAGATGTATATGTAGACAAACAAACAAACATACATACATACATATACGTACAGGCATATACAAATACATATCATTATGCCAGATGTGTAGGTATGCAGCAGTGTTTCCCAGTGCCTATCAGTTGCACGTCCCTCCTAATTACTGATCATATCAAGACCAAGGGCTCCCTCATTTCACTAAAATCACGCCGCAAAAAATTCCAACGCGAGAACCAGCGAGTGCTTGAACGATTGCCTGCCTGCTTTTGGTACCCTCGCACTTGCATGTTGCTTGCTGGCAGGCTACACCAAAAGATGGTCTCATCGAGGAACGATCCCCCATGAAAGGTGGATCAGAGCCGGCAGAGGAGGCTTTTCCGTGCCGTGCAGTTCTTCAAGTTTCATTTCAGGGTGACTTGTGTTTATTTCAGCACGGAGCTAGTCTGAGGCTTGCCGTTCAAGGGCGGGTTGTTTGCTTAAGTTTTTCAAGTCTCGAGCTGAAGATTTTCAAACGCGCAACTTTGCCAAGGGCAGGAGCGGTTACGCTATATGCTGGACTTGTGCACTTGCCCCGCTGCAGTGTTTGATCGTGGCACTGGATCGAGCAAGAAGCAGTCGCATCAAGATGTAAACCCTCGTGTGGCCGAGCTCATCCATGTCTGTATGTCCGCTGTTGGTGGCACTTGCACCCACGGATGAACATGACAGGTACCGATCGTTTCTCACCCCGTATCCGTACGTTCAGATTCACCAGTGCGGATGAGGCATGCCGAACAATGCTTGATGTTTTTTTTGGCAGCACAATCACTCTGAGCTCGAAGCCTGTGCACGTCCATGCTTGATGTGGCATCCCGTATTTTCCAACACAATTCTGAGATGGCACGATTTGATCCGCAATCTCTAAGTGGATCCTTTTTCTGCATTGGATAAAGACCGAATGGCAAAGGGTGACACCTGAACTGACCGAATGGCTACATCGAGTCCCGTTCCTGCTCTGTGTAGTGATTCTGTGACGGGACCTTTCATAACTTGCAAGATATTTTTCCCGGGGAATACTTATGCGAAGCACCGATGACAAAGTCTTTGGGGAATTTGGCATGCCAACTGGGCTGCCATGGCGGATGAGGCACATATCAGCCGTGAAACAGCATCCATCTTGCAAAAAGCTCCTGCACCTCAGTGCCACACACCCCCTCAGTGTCTGAAGGAAAGACGCACAGATTCGACAATCTCTGTTATCTTTCCCTCTCCTCACCATGAGAGCCCCCGCCGAATTGCGGTCAGCGGAGGGAGTGGGTTTACGAGCTCAGCCAAGGGAAGTTAACTACCTCTCTCTCTCTCTCTCTCTCTCCCTCTCTTGCTTGCTTGCTTGCTAGGGGTCTGGGAACCTTTCCCTCTCTCTCTTGCTTGCTTGCCTTCCTGCCTGCGTGCTTGCTGGCTCGGGGTATGGAGGCCTTGACGGCTGCTTGCTTGGGTGTGAGTGTATGCAGGCAATGCACCCTGGCCCGAAGGCCTGCCCGCCATGGCACGCCCCTGTCTGTCCTCTAGGCTGTACAAGAGACTGTGTTCATCGGAACTTGTACCCCATTCCCGAGCTGAGCGAATGCTCCTCAAAGCAACAGGTTCACACAGACGGGGGAAAGAAGAACGTGCTCTAATTACCGGCCCGGCATTGTGTGTGTGTGTGTCTCCCTGTCTCTCTGTCTTTGTCTCTCTTTCTTTCGCCAGAGTTAAGGTGTAGAGGTTACCCTCTCTTTTTCTCTCTCTCTCTCTCTCTCTCTATATATATATATATACACACATCACAGGCACATACACAAACAAACATGTATCTGTCTAGCGTTTCTCAAGGATGGGGAGGTAAAAGAGACAGAAAGAGAGAGAGAGAACACGCCAGATAACACCGACAGAAACAACAGCACACAAACGGCGACCGTGTGGAATATCACCTACACTAGCAACGCTGCTGCATGCCAACATCGTCGATTTCAACATAGTCTACTGACGACCGACAACACACATGCAATCAAGAATCCGTGAGAAAGGGCAACACACATCTCTCAAGATCCGTCACTAAGTTTTCTCGCTGATTTCGAGTCACGTTTGCTCGAACGGGACGGCGAGGGGGCCACTTCCTCGCTGGCGGCATGCTTGATAGGCCACGCAGCAGCATCGGCCGACAGGCACCACAGGCGAAGCTTTCGACAGACATTGCTAAGCTGCTCAGGACGAATGCGTGGCGTCGGCTGTTGAAGCCATGATAGGGACAGCGTCTGACACGTTCAACGATTCAGCTACATGGTCCTGATGTCTGAACCTGAGGTCCACTACACTACACTACAGGCTTACAGCTACAATCACCACAGCTGAACGAAGGTCAGAAGCAAAATCGTACAGGGTGCAAGTGGCCCAGTGAGCTGAAAGCCTCCAAGACTCCGAGCTTTACACAAAGCCTCAATGCACGGAGCTCGCCTTGTCACCCCCTCTGGCCATGGTGCGCTCTCATCGTGCCAAGCCTCACCACGTCCACAAGGCGTGGCTTGGAGTTTTGGGTCTTTGGAGCCAATCTTTATCGACATCCCAGACACTTTCGCTTAACGTCCTGCTCGGTACTACTACTACGTCGTACTACTACTACTACTACTACTACCACTACTACCACTACTACCACTACCACAACTACTACCACTACTATATTTCAATTGAACGCTGTGCGAGCGGGCTCAGCACATAGCGGGCGATTGCCGCGGTGCACTCACATGGTGTGAAACTGACTCAGACCCTATAGCTGAACAGCCCTGGTCGAAGACCTTTGGGTGTTGGCGGCCTACAGGCTTCAAGCTAACTGGCAGTGGTCAGCCGAAGCAAGTTGGTAGGCGGCCAGGCTTCAAGCTTCAGATTGTTGTGTGTACCTGAGCGAGGATAGTGATTATGCAGCACTAATTGCAGAGGCACAGTTCTGCGACTGGCAGAAGGCGAGGCATGTTTTTCTCTGACAGCGGCGGCAATCAGCAGAAAGGCCGTCAGTACATGCCGGAAGAAACGAAGTATAAGTGCAGGCATGGCCTCCGCATTTCGCTGTATAGGTTGCCATTGGCACCGGTGATCAAAGTTGGGGCTCACTGGTGCCAGGAGCGGCTGTCACTGGCCCCTGAGTCCGAGCCACGATTCCACCACCCTCCTCGGGTCCAGGCATCGCCGTCTCTGTAGCGCTTGTCTGTGTGAGACTGTGTCTCTTCACCAGAGCGCTTGTCTCGCTGTTCCCGCTGCTCACGTAGCTCGCGTTGGCGATGCCATTGGTATGTGGGCGTGTCGCCCTTGTTGTGTTCGATGCGGAGCTTGCGGACAACGTGTCCATCCCGAGGCTGGTAGAAGATGGCGCGATTTTGACCACCACTTTTCCTGGAGGACTGGTCATAGATGCACTTGAAGGTGGAGGCCACGATCTCGAAGTTGTCATCCGTTTCGAGCAATGCGCTCATGTCCGGATGATCCCACATTTTCTGAAAAAGGGCGTGCACTATGCCATAGTAGGTCGTGGTGGACTTGAGCTCGGTGTAGCGATCATCTTGGCCAATGGATAGTGTGAATTGGCCATTGGCCCCGACCATAAGCCGCGCTTGCGTGATGTCAAGCCAGTTGGCATCCTTGTCGGTGGCGACCTTCTTGATCGGGGCGAAGATCCATGGCACCTTGCCCAGTGCTCGAAACCTATTGGTCCAAAGGTAGACCTGCTCAGAGGCCGTGAGGCCACCCACGATAGCCTGCTCCTTCATAATGGAAATGGTCGCAAAGGCATGGACCCACTCCAGCATCTGGTCAGACTGGCAGATGTGGATAATCTGATCTCTCTTTGGCAGTTGATTTGCCTCTTGCTCTGGAGAGGGGTTGACACTGTACTCCACCAGCTTGGTCGTGGTGACCGGTCCCTGGTATTTGACCTCTGCACGCGTAGAGGGGGCATCCACAGGGGATGAAGCTGTGGTGTCAGCCGGGCCTGGGGTCTGTGGGACGGTCTCCTCGGTGGGGGCAGCTGTCGGAGTCACATTCTGGGTTGAGAATGCGTTGAAAGGCCGATCGCTTGTCTGGCCAGGGCCAGCAGACTTGTGTGACTGCGGTGTGCCCACCGGCAGCATCGGAGTGTCTGGCGTGCCCACAGTGTCTTCCGCCCATCCCAACGTGGGATCAGCAGTGACATGTGTCTCATCCTTGATGTCCGCCGGTTGGTCATTGACCCCCTGTTCTACTTTCGCTGCAAGAGGCCGGTGGCCCTGCGCTTGTGGGGTAGGACCTGGCGGAATGGGAGGGAGACCGAGCCCAAAGCGTGCCTTAGACACCGACGCTGTGGGTCTCCACTGGGGCGGACGGTCCGCCGTGGGTTCTGGTGGTGGCGGAGCCTGGCCTGACGCTGCAATGGCTGCAGCTGAGGGAGGGTTTGCTCGGCCGGGCGCTGCGACCACATACTGTTGCGAGGCGGGGGGCCTGGTGGCTCGGGCACTGATCGGTCGTGCCGGGATTGCATGAAGTGGTGTGTGACTCCCAACTCATTTGGGAACTTCAAGCGTCGGCCGCCGCGCTCGCAGTAGCGGCAGGAAAGCCAGTCAGGATCTTCAGGGTGAAGGCAGAGGCCTCGGGGGATGTTGCGAAGGACAGCCTCGGCCGAAATGCCGTGGTACTGCGGCTCCTTTTCGACCGCCGCCATGATCGCGTCGAAATCACCCCGTTCGAGGCTGCTGAGCACGGTCTCGCCGACAACTCTGACGCCTGCATTGGTGAGCATTGCTCCCGCTCGTGCTGGATGGGGTGCTGCAGAGGCAGCGCCACCGGCTTCAATGACCTCCGAGACGATTTGGGGCACGCTCTGCATGAGAGAGTTTTCATTTCTTTGAGCTGCCCTGGGGTCGCCCTTGAAGCCTTTTCGCCAGCTCCAGCAGCGGGTGAATGCTACTCGAACCTGACCGCGGGTCTCAAAGTAGTGACCATCAGACTCAAGCTCTTTGGACTTGGTGAGCTGAGTTGAATGTCGCTCGCGGAGCAAATACACCGGTCCGAACTGTCGGGTCTGGTTCCATCCTGGCACTGGGGTGTGGCCCATGTCGTGCGTGAGGAGCTTCCAAAGTTCCTTGCAGAAGATCATGTAGTCCAGGTTGGCGACCGAGGCAAGTATTTGCCTGCTGAAAGCGTGATTGATAGCGCAGAGCATGAGGGGATGGCGCGGTTGTCCATAGATGATGCCCTGGAAAATGTGGTCATTTTTGACCCCAATGCCCATGATCATGTACTCCTTGGGCAGAACCCCCTCCACTCCATTTGGGCATTGCCCCAGCTCTTTGCTTTTGCGAA